TCATATGCACATACGTGTTCTAGCCTTTCATTCCCCACCTCTGTTGGAGCTCACAGCTTTCTCCCTGTCTTGGGTGGGGACAGGGAAGGGACTTTAGCTTGCTTTAAAATTTTTTTTTCCCTTTTTAAATATTTATTTATTTAAAGTTTTTTTTGTTTTTTTTTTTTTTTAAGATTTATTTACTTGGCAGGGGGTAGCAAAGGGAGAGAGAGTCTTAAGTAGACTCCACGATGAGCACAGAGCCCCACGTAGGGCTTGATCTCACAACCCTGAGATCACAACCTGAGCCAAAATCAAGATTCGGTTGCTCAACTGACTGCACCACCCAGCTGCCCCAAAGATTTTACTTTTTTAAGTAATCTCTACATCCAGTGTGGGGCTCTAACTCACAACCCCAAGATCAAGAGTTGCATGCTCTATCGACTGAGCCAGCATGCACCCCTCTTTTTTTTTTTAAAGTGGCTTTATTGAGGGATAATTTTATACAAAGAACTGAGTATTTTATGTGTACAGTTTGATGCATCTGGACATATGTAAACACCTGTGATACCATCACCTTAATAATCATAGCTTTCTTTTTCAAACGACAGCTAACAGATTTTGAGTGCTCATATGGTTCAAAAATCAAATAATGTAAAAAGATATTTCCCCATCTTCCAGCCTGTTCTCTATCCCACTTACACTGCCCCTCTCCCTTGGTAACCCCTCTTATTAGTTGTATATCATTCCAGGGTATTTGTATGAATATAAGCATATATTCTAATTTCTCCCCCCTTTATGTGTGAAAGAAAACATGCCATACATACTGTTCCTCACTTTGCTCTCTTATCAAGTTATCTTGTGATCTCTCTGTATCAGCACAGACATTTCCTCATTCTTTGGGTTTGTTTTTTTTTTTATGGCTTCATAGTATTCCATTATATTCTTGTACCAAAATTTATCTAGCCCCCTGTTGATGGACATAGTCATTTTGCATACGTATAAGTTTATCTAGGGTTGTTGGGCCAAAGGGTATATGTTATTTGAGGTGTAGGTAAATATTGTTAAAATACCTTTTAGCTTTGTTGATTGATGATTTTTTAAAAGATTTTCTTTATGTATTTTATTTTTATTAGAGAGTGAGCAAGAGGGGCGCCTGGGTGGCTCAGTCAGTTAAGCATCTGCCTTCGGCTCAGGTCATGATCCCAGGGTCCTGGGATGGAGCCCCGCATTGGGCTCCCTGCTCAGCGGGAAGCCTGCTTCTCCCTCTCCCACTCCCCCTGCTTGTGTTCCCTCTCTCACTGTGTCTCTCTCTGTCACATAAATAAATAAAATCTTAAAAAAAAAAAAAAAAGTGAGCAAGAGAGAAAGAGAGCACAAGCGGGCAGGGGGAGAAGGAGAAGCAGACTCCCCACTGAGCAGGGAGCCTGATGTGAGGTTCAGTCCCGGAACCCTGGGATCATGACCTGAGCCAAAGGCAGACGCTTAACTGACTGAGCCACCCAGGCGCCCCAAAGATTTTGTTTATTTATTTAGAACTCAGACAGAGTGGGGAGCAGAGAGAGATAAGCAGACTCTGTGCTGAGTGTGGAGCCTGATGTGGGGCTTGATCACAGGACCCTGAGATCATGACCTGAGCAAAAAACCAAGATTCGGACACTTAACTGACTGAGCCACCTAGGCGCCCCAGTGACTGATGATTTTTAAGTATGAAAAGAGCAGCCCAAATTCCATTTCCCCCTCTTACCCCAAGCCAAAGGAAGCTGTCCTCCTAATATCTTCTGGTGCATGTCTGTGTCATTCATTTAACAATCTCAGTCTTCTCTGCTTGTGTGTTCATATGCACGTTATTTCTCCACCTAGAGCAAAAGAGCTCAGGTCTTTATCTCACATCCTCAGAACTACTCTGGTACCCTATGGACACATCTGCTCATTGATCAAGTATTCATGTCTTTTGTACAAGAAGAGAAATCTCTGCTTTGGACCTGAAAATAAGATGGTTGCCTGCTGGTCCTTGTTAGTATTTTATTGAGACAAAACTCTTTGGAGGGCAGATGGTCCCAGGCAGGCACCACAAATCCAATTTAAAAATATTTATTGCACATGAGAAGTGTAAAGACACAGTGTGAGAGTTTGGGGAGGAAACAGAATGAATAAGACACGGGACTGGCCCTTATGAACCTTTTCCCCAAGTTTATTTGGCCTGTACAGTGTTCTAAACATTTTTCAAAAACTTTTATAATTGGGATATTGCATATATAAAAGTACACAGATCTTAACTCTACAACTGGAATGATCACAAAATGTGCTTGAACCATTTTTAGTTAGTCACCAAACTCTAAAAATCTCTTGAAAAACGAGCTGTGGTAATAGTTTCCCCCTTAGGGTACTCATTTCCCAATTTTCTATTCCCTATTATGGCTGGTCCTCAATAAAGTAGAATGACCAGGTATCTGGGAGGAAGATGGGGTTTGTTGGGGGGTTGGAAGAGCAGAGATAAGAAAACAAGAAATTGAACAAAAAGAAAGGAAAGGAATTGAACAGCATCAAACATCAGACTGCTCACCTGCTGGATGTTTACTTTTAACAAAGTTAAAGCATGTTTGTAATAAAAAATAAAATCAGTTCATTTTCTGCATTTTAATCTCTTTGAGGACTGTTTTGTCTCAGGTTCTTCAAATAATAGTGTTGGTGGTCAAAAATTGAAAGCATTAGGTTGTATTTTACAGTGTAAAATTAAAATACCTGATGAGTTGATAACTTGAGCTGCCTGTCAAAGCCATGCCTCTGAGAACAAAACCCAATTCTAAAAATGCTTATCCGACGTTGTCACAGAACAGATTTTAAAACTGCAGCCACCTGCCTTCCAAAGTTTATCTCCGCTGCACCTGCACTCAAAAATACTTCTGCCTAGGGCGCCTGGGTGGCTCAGTCGGTTAAGCGACTGCCTTCGGCTCAGGTCACGATCCTGGAGTCCCGGGATCGAGTCCCGCATCGGGCTCCCTGCTCGGCGGGGAGTCTGCTTCTCCCTCTGACTCTCCTCCCTCTCGTGCTCTCTCTCATTCTCTCTCTCTCAAATAAATAAATAAAATCTTTAAAAAAAAAAAATACTTCTGCCTACACACAGGAACTGTTGTTTAAAGATTTTGCCGTTGATTCATTGTGCAGGCTCTCCAGGAATTAATCACACTTTAAAATTTATTTTTAAAAAATAATGTACGAACACGGTGAAAAACAAACAATTATGTGAAATGATATAGAAAATTAAATTTTTTCTCGTCCCCTCTGTAGTCCCGCTCACCAGAAGAAACCACTATTACCAGTTTCTTGTGCTCTTTCCAAAGATTGTCTCTGAATACATACATACATAAATGCACACACACAGACATACACAAAGCCTCCCCCTTTTCTACACAAATGACTTCAAACTCTGTGCTTCTTTGCACCTGTTTTGTTTTCATTTCACTTCCTGTACCAAAGATTTCTTGCCATTGGTATATACATACACACTATTGGCTGCATCATATTATATTAGATGAAGGTTTCATAATCTAGCCAGTCTCTTACTGGTAATGTTTAGGTTTGCAGTCTTTCTACTACAAACAGCACTAAGAACATCTCTTTACATTTATCTTTGTGGATGGATGCACATGGTATCTATGGGATGAATTCCTAGAATTGGAGTTCTGGGGTCAAAAAGATACATGCATTTGAAATCTTGTTTGTGATAGCCCATTTGTCCCAGAAAGAGCCTACCAGTCTACATTCCCTCAGTGTATGTAAGTGCAATTTCTCAGTATCCTTGCCAACACTTCCTATTGGGTATTTTGATCTTTGCCAATCTGATATGAAAATTATGTTTGGGGTACCTGGGTCTTTGGCTCAGGTCATGATCTCATGGATCATGGGGTCCAGCCCTTGTTCGGGCTCGCTGCTCAGTGGAGAGTCTGCTTAGGGATTCTCTCCTTTCCCCCATGCGCATGAGCTCTCTCTCTCTCAAATAAATAAATCTGTTTAAAAAATTATGTTTTATTGGGTTTCAATCTGCCTTTCTCTTGTTATGATCCAGCATTATTTATTGTCCAGCAAGAGCACGGCCAGGCAGGCAAATTGGAGCCCCACTTATTACTCATCATTACTCTTTGATTTCATTTTCCTTTTCTTTCCCTTGAAGCAAAAGTGAGACAGACTTGTTAAAAAAGAAAAAAAAAGGGGCGCCTGAGTGGCTCAGTCGTTAAGCGCCTGCCTTCGGCTCATGTCATGGTCCCAGGGTCCTGGGATCGAGCCCCGCATCGGGCTCTCTGCTCTGCAGGAAGCCTGCTTCTCCCTCTCCCACTCCCCCTGCTTGGGTTCCCTCTCTCGCTATGTCTCTCTCTGTCAAATAAATAAATAAAATCTTAAAAAAAAAAAAAAAGTCTTCATGGGGCAAGAAACATTACAGGTGTAAGAACTAAATTACGCTTTTTTTTTTTTTTTTTTTGATAAATCCATTCCCGGTTCTCTGATCCATCACTCATTCTTTTCACCCGATCTTCCACTACATCTTTCAAATCTTTTCTTTCTGTGCCTTTCACCACTACCTCACACTAGTCAGAGATAGGAACACTTCAGCCTTCCTTCTGTCTGAACAGGTTTTTCCAAAACAAAGTTCTCCAAAAACTATGGGCTTATTTCCTTGGTGATACCTGAAAACTATTTCTACTCAGCACCCCAGGAGTAGAATTCTAGTTCCGTGAGCGCATTGATAACCCCGACCCCTAATACAATGCCTGCACACAATAGTCACTAAATAACTGTCTTTATATTGACATAAAAATACCTACATAAGTTGTAAAGCCTACAAAACATAAAATTTGCCATCTTAACCATTGTAAGTATACAGTTTAGTGGCTTGAAGTATATTTGCATCTCAGTGGTTTTCTTTTGGATGAATGAATAAGTTGTGATATTGGTTATTTGTCCCTGAAAGTCGGCAAGAGCCAAACCATCGTTTTAATTCACGTTGTTCTTCTTCTCTCCAGATGAAGTCATACGGAAGCGTCTCCTAATTGATGGAGACGGCGCTGGAGATGATCGGAGAATCAATCTGCTCGTGAAAAGTTTCATTAAATGGTGCAACTCCGGGTCCCAGGAAGAGGGGTATTTCATCTCACTGTTGTTTCTACGCCGATGTCCTGATCAAAGTTTAGACCGTGTATACAACAGCCCTGTCAGTATTTCAGATTTTCACTCACCTTCAGATGTCCTATGGAGGCAACTCTGGGTTAATCAAGTGTAGATTTTTCTGGCCCTTATTTCTTTCAGAGGCCTGCTTTATGTTTATTAAAATGTGCAGAAAGTGTAGTGGTAAGAAATAAGGATTAAATTCTGGCTCATTAATTTGGTCACTTTTAGCATTTAGTTAGGCAAAATATCTAAATGAAATTTTCTTTTTCTTTAAAAAAAATTTTTTTTACATAAAATATTTGAGTCAGTCTTTATTGCATTACTTTTTCTTTTTTAAAATTTAAATTCAATTAATTAACATAAGCTATATTATTTGTTTCAGGGGTACAGGTCCGTGATTCATCAGTCTTATTTATATAATACCCAGTGGTCATTACACCACATACCCTCCCCAATGTCCATCACCCAGTTACTCCATCCCCCACCACCCTCCCCTCCAGCAACCCTTTTTTTAAGTAAGCTCTAGACCCAGTGTGGGGCTTGAACTCAAGACTCTGAGATCAAGAGTCACCTGCACTACCGACTGAGCCAGCCAGGTGCCCCAATTTTCTTTCTTTAATAAGCTCATAAAAAGTTTTTATAGATTGCAAGGTTTTGTATATATTTAATAACTTTTTTTGCCTTAGAAAAATTTCACTCATTTGAATTAGCTTTTCAAATAAATCATTGTAAAGAGTGAAAAAATTGTGAAAATAAAGTTGTGAGGATAAAAAACCATCTTAAGACTTTTTTTTTTTAATTTTATTTATTTGAGAGAGAGAGGGAGGGAGAGCAGACTCACCACTGAGCAGAGAGCCCCACACGGGGCTGGATCCCAGGACCCTGAGATCATGACCTGAGCCGAAGGCAGACGCTTAACCAACTGAGCCATCCAAGCGCCCCTTGATTAAAACATTTTTAAAAGTATTTTAAACAAAATTCAAACAAGTAGTTGTTTGAATTAAGCTTATATTGATAAGAACAGCAGTCCCATCTTTGCACTTGTAACTAAAGCAGTTTATGAATCCAAGTACATCCCATTAGGAAAAATTAAACATAAGAGAAAGATGTTCTAAATTATTTTATTTTATTTATTTATTTGTTTAAAGATTTTATTTATCTGAGAGAGAGAGAATGAGAGAGAGCACATGAGAGGGGGGAGGGTCAGAGGGAGAAGCAGACTCCCCGCTGAGCAGGGAGCCCGATGCGGGACTCAATCCAGGGTCATGACCTGAGCCGAAGGCAGCCGCCTAACCAACTGAGCCACCCAGGCACCCCTAAATTATTTTAAATAAAGCACATGATTCTCTCAGAACTTGATAGTTCTGCCTGCACTGTAATATATAATAGTTCAACTTTGGTATTTCACAAAAATCTTTATTCTGTTTCTCTCTTTTCCATTAGATATAGCCAGTACCAACGTATGCTGAGCACACTGTCCCAATGTGAATTTTCAATGGGCAAAACTTTGCTTGTATATGATATGAATCTCAGAGAAATGGAAAATTATGAAAAAATTTACAAAGAAATAGGTAAAGAAACTTAAAGAAATTAATGTGTCCATGTGAAATTTTAATTTTTATGGTCTAAAGGAGACCATATATACTAGCATTTTTCTTTGGTTAGTGGTAAAATAATAACAATGACAATGTTAATAGAAAGAATATAGTAAATGTTAGCTACAAAAATGTATTCTGATATGATTACAGTACTTTGGGTTGTAGCTATTTTTTAAACACCAGCATCTATTTTATTAGCAATGGAATTTAATTTAAAAACACATTTTAAAATTGAAAATGGATGAAGATTATACATGTTGTTGCAACTGTCTTTAAAAAAACCTTTTCATATAGAATGTAGCATTGCTGGAGCACATGAAAAAATTGCTGAGTGCAAAAAACAAATTCTTCAAGCAAAGCGAATACGAAAAAACCGCCAAGGTAAGGGTTTTGTGGGATTTAGTGTGCAAATGCTTTATTACTGAATACTATTTTCATGCAGCTTTTAATGCTGTGTGGTAAAATCTTCAGCAAGAATCAATCTGAATTATTAAAAAGAATTAAGAGCTAAACTTAATTCTTTAAAACTATATTATTCTTTAAAATAGTGGAGGAGGAAGGCTATGCTGAAAAACCTTTTTTTTAAATTTTTGCTGGATTGTATTGATTATCCAAATATTTCTTTTTTTTAATACAAATTTTTTTTAATGATTATTTATTTGACAGAGAGGGACACAGCGAGAGAAGGAACACAAACGGGGGAGTGGGAGAGGGAGAAGCAGGCTTCCTGCTGAGCAAGGAGCCCAATGCGGGGTTGGATCCCAGGACCCTGGGATCATGACCTGAGCCGAAGGCAGACGCTTAATGACTGAGCCACCCAGGCACCCCTAATCCAAATATTTCTTAAGTATTCTTTTTTTTTTTTTTTACTGTCCTCAGACCCCTTTGCCCTAAGTAATGTTATGGTTAATCAGCAAAGGCAGTTCACTCAAGTACACTAGACCTAAGGTTTTAATGGTTGTTTGTTTGTTTCATGGAGTTACTTTCCAGGAAAAAGAAAAGAATTTAAGTCCCGTGAGTTTTTATTAAGTACAAAACAAGCAAACATTTAAAATTTAGCTTTGTCCTACTCTCTTTTTTTTTTTAAGATTTTATTCATTTATTTGACAGAGAGAGGGAGAGATTACAAGCAGGGGGAGCAGCAGAGGGAGAGGGAGAAGCAGGCTCCCCACTGATCAGGGAGCCCAATGTGGGGCTCCATCCCGGGGTCCTGGGATCATGACCTGAGCTGAAGGCAGATGCTTAACTGACTGAGCCAGCCAGGCACTCCTCTTTTGTTTTTTAATTAGGGTATGTCCTCGTTGCAGTCCATAAAAACAAACTATTTCAAAATAATTTTAATGGCCGGGGCATTGTTCCTCCTATAATGTAAACTGAAAGAAAGGAAGATAAAAAAATATAATGCATAATCACAGTTGTGACCTATATATAAAAAACTAGAAGGAAATACAAAATGTTAATGGTTATTTTGGGGCTGTGGGTTTTTATGGCTTGGGGTCTTTTTTTTTTTTCTTTTGTCACCCCTGGACTGATCATGTATTATTTTGTAATCCAAAAAATTTTTATTAAAAGTCACACTTTTATTGGCTTAAAATGCTGATTTTCAAAACAATAAATTTTACTTTTCAATGAGCCAATTGAGATATTTAACTCCTTATTTTAAAAAATTGGTTTTTGAACTCATTCAAAAATACATGTGGTCAAGTTCAGTGACCAATTTACAAAAGGGGATATACCAACTTACATAATAATTATTATCAATTCTAAAATCATTTAAAAAGGTTTCATAGTGTTTTTCTCAATTAGTTGAGGCTTTTACTTATTCATTTTTTTAAAGATTTTATTTTTATTTATTTATGTGACAGAGAGAGACACAGCGAGAGAGGGAACACAAGCAGGGGCAGAGGGAGAGGGAGGCTTCCCGCTGAGTAGGGAGCCCGATGGGAGGCTCCATCCCAGGATCCTGGGATCAGGACCTGAGCTGAAGGCAGACACCCAATGACTGAGCCACCCAGGAGCCCCTAGTTGAGGCTTTTAAATGAATGCTGCCATTCATCATTTCAAGGTTAACAGGAAATAACAGGGAAACTTGGAGGCCTCAGTGGAAAAGAAGGAAGGAATTTTATCATTTCTGAATTTTAAATTGTTTCTCAATTTCTGAAATCTTTACCTTTAGAATGAGAATGAGAAGTGTAATTTGCCATTGTTAAGATCTGAAATGAATGGTAGGATATATTGACCTCGCTGGTCTTCTCTTTGTTGGGCAAATAGTGAATAAGATCCTCTTCAGAATCAGTCCACTTAATGATCAATGAATGGCTTAAGTTCACTTCTCCTATGCTGGCCTCTTATATCCTGCCCAGGGATAGGTAAATGGAAAAACAGAGTGTGAGCAAAAGACCTTGTTTGGAACAGTTTTGAAATCATGTATCATTGTAGTTATTGTTGAACCAAGTGATATGGGCAGTACTCTTTGCATCCTTCAGTGTTTTCATTTCTTTATGCACTGAGAAAGTGATTAGGAGAGACCTGTGATATACCTTTTTTCTCATATCCATGTTCAAAAAAAACCTTAATTTGGTAAATATTTTTGTATCTTTCAGAATACGATGCTTTGGCGAAAGTGATCCAGCACCATCCAGACCGGCATGAGACATTAAAGTAAGTTTAGAGTTTACTTTGAAAGGAACCAGTCTAATACATTTCTGTATAAATGTTTACATACTAGCCTATACATTCCATTTTTTATGGGAGTACATAATGTGTTTCAGAAGGAGGGGTCAGATCTTCCAAATTACATATTCTAATACCACTTGATTGAGTTTTTCCTTCCTCCGATCTTACTGTCTCTAGTTCTAAAATAATAAAATAAATGCATATTATATATGTATCAAATGAAAATAGATAAAATATGGTATACTATATATATAGTAGAATGCTAAATGAACAGTTTAAAAGAACAAACTAGATATACACTTTTTTTTTTTTTTTAAGATTTTATTTATTTATTTGAGAGAGAGAATGAGGTAGAGACAGAGAGAGCATGAGATGGGGGAGCGTAGAGGGAGAAGCAGACTTCCTGCTGAGCAGGGAGCTCGATGCGGGACTCGATCCTGGGACTCCAGGATCACGACCTGAGCTGAAGGCAGTCGCTTAACCAACTGAGCCACTCAGGCGCCCCTAGATATACACTTTTTTTAGATATACACTTGTTAAAGTCAGATCTCAGGGGCGCCTGAGTGGCTTAGTCTGTTAAGTGTCTGCCTTCAGCTCAGGTCATGATCCTAGGGTCCTGGGATCGAGTCCAGTGTCGGGCTCCCTGCTCAGTGGGGAGTCTGCTTCTCCTTCTGCCTCCCCTAGCATGTGCTAGTGCTCTCTCTCTGTCTCTTAAATAAATAAATAAATAAAAATCTTTAAAAAAATAAAAACTCAGATCTGAAAAACATAATCAGTGAAAAGAAAAACAGAAGACATAATAAATTTTAAGTTATTCCTAAGTTTCTCTAACAGATGCAGAATAACATTTATAGAAGTTAACTCCCCCCATTATATACTAATACTGTATATTATTTAAAGAGACAAATATATGTATGAAAAAGGATTGGAGTGATAGAGTGATTGCCTGAGTGGGGAATAGAGGAGGAAAAAGGTCTGAGATAGAGGATAGCCAATAAGGTTCCAAGAGGATTTCAAGTTAATCTGCAATGTTTTATTTCTTTTACCAAGGGGGAAAAAAGACGACTTTTTTTGGTCAAATAAGTATGATAAAATGTTAAAAGTTATCAATTCTTGTGGTGTGATGTTCTATTTATCTGTGTTTTCTTAGGTTTTAAAAATTATCTAGAAAATTTGATTTTAATTAAAAAAGTACATACTTAGAGTTTAAGAAGAGATCACCCCTAGCTTCAAAGTTTCATCCTAATGGAGTGTAATAACTTCTTATCTTTTTTTTAATTTTTAAAACTCTTTAGTAACTAAAAAGTTAGGTATTAATTGTGACTTCTGTTCCCCCAATTAGCAAGCTATAACACTGTTTTATTATTTTCAGGGAACTAGAGTCTCTGGGAAAGGAACTAGAGCATCTTTCACATATTAAAGAAAGTGTTGAAGATAAGGTATTTGTACACATACATTGGTCTCTATGATATGTATATGTGTATAGATCAATGTGTATTAATTTTTTTCTCATTAACACAGCTGGAATTGAGACGGAAACAGTTTCACGTTCTCCTTAGTACCATCCACGAACTTCAGCAAACGCTAGAAAGTAAGTAGAAATAGTCACAGAATGAATTTTTATCAAGACTTTTAAGTGATCCAGGGGCGTGCCTTCTAAAATAATACATCTTATTGAGAGAGTACACCTTCAGTTTCAGAACAGGAGTATAGCAGGATGATGTTAAAAGTGTTCATGCTGTTCAGCTTTCTGCATATATGCAGAAATATATCATTTAAAATACATGTCCAGTAGTTCACATTAAGAGAAATTCAGGGATGATAGATTTGGAATTCTTCTTGGTTTATTATAGTTTATTGCTATAAAGTAACAATTCAGGACCCAGGCAGGCAGCAGTAAGTGAGTGGAGTAATTAGTGCATAAGCACATTTGCATAGTCCATGAATGGAAGGTGCTTTGGGGAACTGGAGACTTGCTCTTTGTATTAGTCAATACTAATTTGTATCAGCCCATTGGAAATTTCGATGTTATCTGACCTCCTTATTGTTTTTAAGAAAAACCTAAAACCTAGATTTTTTTTAAATGTATTCTTCACATAAATTTTACATTTTGACTTAACTAATAAACACCAAAAACCAAAACAGCACTTTTAAAACCAAACACTGTGTGGGCTGATGACAGTCATAGGCTGCCATTTTGCCATCTTTGTTTTAGACATACCGGCTAATAAAGGATAAAAATGTTGTCACGTATTCATAAACATATAATTTAAGCAAATTTGACTAAAGTTTTATGGTTCTTTCTCAATTGCAGATGATGAAAAGCTCTCAGAGGTAGAAGAAGCTCAAGAAAGCACCATGGAAACAGATCCTAAGCCATAAACAGACTAATGGTTCACCCTTCCCAAGAAGGCGGAAGTAACAACATGCTCCTAGTGCGTTTAGAATTTGTTGTGCTCTTGAGCTATTTAAAGTTTTGGCAGTAGACTACTTTGCTTTTAAATACTAATGCACAGTTCATTCCTATTTCTTTACACAAAGGAAAAAAACTTCAGTATAAATTTTTTTGTATTGAAATGTCTTTTTTATTCTTAAACTTAAAAAGTAGGAAGCGATATCCAAAAATGTTTAATAAAATGTTTTCAAGCCAGATATGTTTGTGCTCATTAGTATTCTAGGTAGTTTTTAACTGGTAAGACTGGTTCATTTATAAAATAAGTTGAAGATTGTGAGAAAGTGGCATTTCTAGGATGTACGTGAAAAAAATGAGTCAGTCTGGAAATTGTTACCATCTTTGAAAATGGAGTTCATGAATAGGCTTCATGAGGGCTGTGAACTTGTGAAATTACGTACAAAATGTTTGTGGTATGTGCTCATTTGGGGAGAGGTTGCCTGATCCTAACAATCAGTGGTAGAAGAGGTAATTACAAGATGCAAATTAAATCAATATGCATTGCCTTCTAGTTCTCTCTCCATAATGCTTAAGCAGTCTGGTTGTTAAATGTTTTGATGATATGTTTTCTTCTACTGTTCCATTATTTAGGAGTCATTTTCAGTAGAAAAAACATATTGACAAAGAAAATATTGTCTCAGAAAAATAGACTATTAAGATGGTTGGTCTTGGGGCACCTGGGTGGCTCAGTCGGTTAAGCGTCTGCCTTCGGCTCAGGTCATGATCTCAGGGTCCTGGGATCGAGCCCCACATCGGGCTCCCAGCTCCCTGGGGAGCCAGCTTCTCCTTTTCCCTCTGCCTGCCACTCCCCCTGCTTGTGTTCCCTCTCTCACTATATCTCTCTCTGTCAAAAAAATAAAATCTTAAAAAAAAAAAAAAAAAGATGGTCGGTCTTGCATAAAGGATTTCATGATCTTAAAAATGAAGCTAAGGCTGAATCACTTGTAATTTTCTTAAGTAGTGAATTTAATGTTCAATACTTGTTAGGTTCCATCCTTATCCATTTATTTTAGTTCGGAAACATGACATTTTACATGAATCATACCTTACACAATGTTAGTTTTTGTAATTTTAATAAGAATTCTTATCTTTAAATATGGAAATTTAAATTTAACTCAGTAGTAGTCATATTAAAAGTGTCATAATACCTTTAAATGATTCCTCTAATTTCATCTGGCAAATCCTGGGAGAAATTTCTCTGCAGAATTGCTATGCCCTGATAAATGTTTCTGTTTTCCAATATTAGTAAGAATTATGAAGCAAAAATTTGCTAACATTGACTCAGAATTAAAAATCATTTTTTCAAAAAAGGATTTTTTTTTTAAGGACTGTTGGACAGAATATTCTAAGAAATATCCATCTCCCCAACTGATTAATTCACTAGAGAGATGTATTCAGGTTTATGAACCAAAAGATAAGAATTCCTATAAAAATAACTCTTAGGCAGTCAGGAACTAAATCAGAAGCAGCAACAGGTACATGGGAAACATACATTTTTCAATTTATACTTCCTCATGGTTCTCTTGGATATCCTCTGGAACTGCTTCGAAGACTGAAGAATTTCGTCCCCTAGAAATTCACACTGTTGAAGCTCAGCATGTCTTTGGGCCAATAACTTCATGGATTTATCTGTCACTGTTTCTATGAGGTCATCCACCTATGACAGACAGATGCAAAGAAATCTAGCCATATTTTGGAAAGCCTTGTCTCCCATCCAAGTACTAACCAGGCCCGACCCTTGTCAAAACCAAAGGGATGGTGGTTTTTTCCTGAGAGACAACTTCAGGAATTGGTGGACGTTTTGCAAATCCCAAAGTATTATTCTAATTCAAGTCATGGCAAACAGAGCAAGAAAACATGCATTTACCAGCCAGTGGTAAAGACAATCTCATTTCTTCCCAAAAGAAGCCTTTGTGCATGCCTTCATTTTAATTGAATTCACTTAATATTTATTAGGCACACAGCATCATCCTAGATGCCCTTAGCAATCCTTTAGTCACTCTCAGGATGCCCCCTACTAACATTATTTCTTCGTGCTAATCTAATCATTAATTTCCTCCCACAACCATGCTGTCTAGCAGGGCTGTGCATTCAGTTAAACTCAGCCCTCTGCAATGCTTCTGAAACACAAAGTAAAAGCCTTTGTCCACCACCTGCATTTGAAGTTTTCCTACTGTCAAATCTGATTTTCGGAGGATGTTTTTCATGCCACGCTTCTTTTTTTTAAGTGCTGGAAAGTGTGATCTCTTTTTTGATGAATATGGAACCTATCACAAAAATGCAAAAACACATCAGATTACGAAGTACCAACAATATTTCTGTGACAGTGCTTAAATAAGAATTCTCACCCTTGGGACATTCTCTTATAAACTGAACATTTGCCACATAACAACGTTGGGTTGGAGAGCATAGTCATATTATTCTCCACGCCCCATGTATCTCCTTTGTGCCCAGAGCTCTCTTTGAAGAGATCTATAGGGTGCAGAGAAATGAGATCATCTGGTTCTGAAAGAATGTTATACAGTGTCAGGAAAAAAGCAGGTCACTCACAAGGGGAAAAAGAAGAAATTGCAGTCACTGAGCACAGTGAGAGTGTGGGGCTGCTGAGGACCAGTGCCCCAGAAAGCTCATTATCACTGGATCTAGTTGTTAATTTGGTCTCTTTTCTGCAGGTTTCCTTATTTTCATGGCAGACATGTCTCCAAACATAAAAAGAAGGCTCTGGGTTCTTTTTGCCCCAAGCCTGATAACTTTTCCTAGCTTCCCTGGCTTGCTTCTTCTAGGCACCTGTCTTAATAGTGTTGCTATTGGAAATCATTCCTAAGTCATGGCTCCTGACTAATAGGCCCTTTTTAGTCTTACTGGGTTTACTCTTCCTTCCCCTTGTGCTTAGTAACTCGCATTGAGACTATTGTGAAACCGGCACAACGTGGGATGTGGGACCACATCTACGACCTACCCTGTGTCTGAGTTTACAAACGAGTCTGCTGACCCACCACTCTGCCCTGCCAACTTGCCCAGGCTCACCTGTCACTTGCAGGACCCTCCCCAATCCATCTATCTATATATAGTTGGACTCCTTGTTTTTCTTTCCCATAAAACCCAGTACTTTTTCCTACTGAACACTTAGCGCATGTGGTAATTCCTAAGTTATTTCTGTGCTTGTTGAATACCACTATTGTAGAGTCAAATGCCTGGATGGTCCAGGAAGGTCATGTAAAACAGGACCCGTTGTGGCTGGTGGTAAACTGGAGAGAATGTGCCTCCTGCCAAGGGGCAGCCTCTGCACGGAATTGTGGGCCTAATGTTTCCAAACCCTATTTTTCAAAAGAAAGCTTAAAATCCAGATATTTTTCAAATATTCGCATTTTTAAATGTGACCGAGATCATTCCAAGAGCTAAACAAACCCCGCCCCCCCCCTTTTTAAAGATTTTATTTATTTACTTGCCAGAGAGAGAGTGAGCAAAAGCAGGGGGAGCGGCAGGCAGAGGAAGAAGCAGGCTCCCTGCTCAGCAAGGAGCCCGATGCAGGACTCGATCCCAGGACCCTGAGATCATAACCTGAGCCGAAGGTAGATGCTTAACTGACTGAGCCACCCAGGCGCCCCTAAATAAGACCTTTTGCAGCCAGTTGACAATGTTTAAAGTCTTTTGCTGAACAGCAATCCTACTGTAACCAGATGTATCCATTTTTTCCTTTTATGGTCAGTGATATTTGTGTCCTAAGAAGTATTTCTCTATACTGAAGTCATTTCTATCATCCTCCACAAGCTTTAAGGTTTTACCTTTTCCGTACTTTATCTATAACCCAATAGGAATGAATTTTTGTATGTGGTGTGAGATAGAGATCAAATTTCTTTTTTCCCATATGAACATCTACTTGTCCCAGTGCCACTTATTCAAAAGGCTATCCTTACCTCAATGCTCTGCAGAGCTGCGGTTTAATATCTATCCCCCTTACTGGATCGTAAATTTCACAGAACAGAACTATGTCTATTGGATCACCCTTAGAGCCCCCAAACCTAGAAATCGCCCTGGACGTAATAGGAATACAGCAAATGTGAACCTGGCACACGAAAGGCAAAATTCAAAACTAATGCTGGTGCCTTCTTACAATGATACTCTAGAGCAGCTCTGTTCAATAGAACTTTCTACAAAAACAGAAATTTTCCTTACTTGCTAGTACAACAGCTGCAAGCCACATGTCATTATCTAGCAACTTAAAATGCAGTTAGTGCAACTGAGGAAGTGAACTTTAATTTTAATTAAATAGTCACATATACCTAGTGGCTACCATTTTGGACAGTACAATTAGTATTTAGCAAAGTAATTAAGAGTAAGGACTCTAGAGCCAGATCTTCCTGGGTCTGAAACCTATCTCTCCCACTTATCTAAGCAAAGTATTTAACCTCTCAGTACCATCCCTAAAATAAGGATAGTATTGCTACCTTTTTTTTCTTTTTTAAAAAATATTTTATTTTTACATAATCTCTACCCCCCAATGTGGGGCTCAAATTCATAAACCCAAGGTCAAAAGTCCCATGCTCTTCCGACTGAGCCAGCCAGATACCCTTATTGCTACCTACCTTATAGGACTGTTGTAATTTTTATCTGAGTTGATATTTCCAAAGTACTTAAAATTGGAAAAAAGTCAGCTTCAGAGCTGTTTGTTGTATTCAAAAATAGAAAAAGTTCAGGTGATTTAAAAAAATAGTTTGGGCAATTTAGGCTGAAGTTTACACATGCACAGATAAGGACAGGCTTTGGTTTGGATGCTCTTGGATTTTCTACTGCCACACTGTCTTTACATGTGACCATCTTTTAATTTCAGTGACAATGAAGTAAAAATCCAACTTTTTAATTGCACTGGCCACATTTCAGGTTCAAAAGTCACATTTGGGGTGCCTGGGTGCCACAGTCAGTTAAGTATCTGACTCTCGGTTTTGGCTCATGTCATGATCTTAGGGTCATGAAATCGAGCCCTGCGTGGGGCTTTGTGCACAGCACAGAGTCTGCTTGAGATTCTCTTCCCCTCTCCCTCTGCCCCTCCCACTTGTGCTCTCTCTCAAATAAATAAATAAATAAATCTTTTTAAAAAAAAGTCACATGTGGTTAATGGCTACTATATTGGATAGGGTATACTTGCATCCTCAAAGTTCTACTAGGCAGTGCTGGTCTAGAATTTCTCTCCAAGCAGCATGCGTGATTGACCTGATGCTAATATAGTTGTAACTTGATAGTTGAATAGTTGAAAAGTCAGTATAAAGCTCAGAACTCCACTGTTGCCCCGACCATAGTAAAAGTAGAACCATCTGAGCTCAGAAGTAGAGGAATCAGACCCAGAAAGCCCGCTTGCTGTGTCCTCAAGTCTTGGACTGAAGGATGCAAGCAGCAGACATGAAGGCTTTATTATGAGAACTTGGCCTTTACTATACCCCTAAACCTCAACTTGTATATAAGTCTTTAGAGGCGAGTTTGTTTTAGCGTTGTACCTTTTGCAGTCCTGAAGGAAGGGACGTCACAGATAACCGCTTGGTGGTTCTCCTGGCCCGAAGCAGTGTATTTCCTTGGGTTATCGCCTCTGTTTCTGCTTCTACAACATCAAGTTGTACAGTCGCTTAGAGAGAAGGGAGGGGGGAGAGAACCTGTAAGGATCTCAATGATAAGCTTTTTCTTTTCTTTTTTTTTTTTTTAAGATCTTATTTATTTATTTGAGGGAGATAGAGAGCATGGGGGGAGGGGCAGAGGGACAGGGAGAAGCAGGTTCCCCGCTGAGCAGGGCTGGATCCCAGGACCCTGGGATCATGACCTGAGCCAAAGGCAGACGCTTAATGGACGGAGCCACCCAGGTGCCCCACAACGATAAACTTTCTCATTAGACAGTATTCAGAAAAGACCACATCCCATGCTACCTCAGTAGCTTTTTTCCTTGGGGTTAAAGATAAAAAATGGGTTTGCTTTTTCTAATCTTATACTTGTTCCTGCACACATTTGCCTTTTCTTGTGGTCAGGACCTCAGTGGTCACCAACCTGTTCTGGCAAAGGTGGTTACATCTCTTTGAGACTTCAGTTTTGCCCTTTGTTACTTTTTCCTTTAACTATTGTGGAATTAGAAAAAGTAACCTTCTGTTGTGTAAGATGATCCCTTGAGTACTTGTTATTGATTGAAGGAATGTTTAAAGTGACTCATTCTCCAGCCATGTGGCTCAAGGCTCTGCCATCACATTACCACATTCGTCGTTTTTCTCATTTTCCAGGGGCCATGTGAACCCCGGCTTCCTTAATATTTTTCTTTCTATCAGTTCAAGTCTTAACACTATAAATGCTTTTATAAAGGTAACTTTAAGACATCAGCATAAATCAAAAACCAGTGTCATAAATAAGCATTAAAATTAATATGGTAAAAACAAAACCATGTTATTGCCTGCAGAAGGCATTAAATTTGAGGTTATTCTCCTTTTCATTAAAAAAAAAGTGGGCAGGAAACGAGGCTTTTATTTCACATTGTCAAAGGATTGACAGGAGCATTGACTCTTGTTTCAGTGCCTCCCTGCTGTGCTCACACATACAACCATCTTGTCTTGCTTGGGGTCCATTGATAAGGACTTTGCTAGAAGTGGTGGCTCCTAATCAGTGAATGGGGGCTCTGTCCTCAGAGCAGGTGCTCAACCCAGGGACTCTTCCCTCTCCCTGCCCTCTACTATCCAGCTCTTCCCCAAATCTTACAACTTCTACCTATGAATGCTTCTCCCTTTACCTCCCCATCCCGACTGCTGCAACTAACTAAGCTACTATCTTTCCTTGCCTGAATGAGTGTAGGAGCTTCTTATTGTTCTTCCTGCATCCGCAATGGCCCTCCTCCCAACCAGTCTCTGCTCTGCAGCCTGAGCTATCTTTCAAAAATGCAAATCAGATTATATAAATCCTCAGCTTGAAAGTATGTGATGCTTTCTTAGCAAAAAATTAAAAATTCTTAGGAGAAAGTTAAAAATTGTTAATGTGACTTACAACATCCTGACCACCTTATTCACCAGCCTTTCCCTGGCTGAATTGCTTTCATTTCCTTATTATACCCTGTGTTCTCTTTATATTGCGATGTGAATATGCTCTCCCTTCCTCCTGGAAAACTCTTCCCACTCTTTCTTTGTCTGACTCCAGTTGTCCTTCAAATCTCAACTGAGTTGTCCCTTCCTTGGGGAGGCCTCTCTGGAGCCCCTTCCCCTAAAGTTAGAGCACCTGTGATGGGTTTCCACAAGGCTTCATGTCAGATGTAATTATCTGCCTAACGTTGGGACGCCCCTCTATGCTAGGACTTTGTGAGGGCAGGGACCACGTCTGCTCTATCTGCTACTCTATCCCTAATAGTTTGGCAAACACATAATACGTATTTAGCAAATATTTGTTAAAAATGTTGCGAGGGTAACAGGGAAGAGCCACTATCATTGGGCCACGTCTGAGAGTGTAATAGTGTTAGAGCTGTGTCCTGAAAGACAGATTTTCCGAAGAAATCTTGGTATAGAGATTGGTTATTCCAACTAAGATGAAAATAAGCCAATGCACACAGATGAGGAAAAAGTACTCATCAGGTACGCAGCCTTATCTTTGTGTGAAATGTGGGATCGTGTGTGGATTCCCTACATGTACTGGAAGGGCCATATAGGTTTCCGGATGCTCTTCTATAAAGGACATTAAGAAGCTACACAGGATATTTAGGGAGTGAATTTGTCCTGTATGACACTGTAATGGTGGATATAGGACATAACATGATGGGTTTGTCATATTAGGGCAAGATGTTAATAGGGGTGGGTGGGGTAAGGAGAGAGGGTATATGGAAAGTTAATCTCTGTATCTTCCATTCAGTTTTTCTAGTAAACTTAAAACTGCTCTAAAAAAAATCAAGTCTATTAACTTAGAAAAGCTACAGAGAAGAATGTGAATATTAGTGGTATTGTTAGTCCATAACTCATAGGACCCTCCCCGCCCCGCCCTGCAACCGCATTACTACATTGCAAAAAAGACTTCAAGTTAAAATTTCAAACCCTGATTCTTCCACAAGGTACATAGGAAGTAGATACAATAAAATAAAATGTCTGTTCTGACTTGCCAATCATAAATTTTATTCATAGAATTCTCCCTACACTCTCCACTGTTGGAAATAGCTATTTGAAGGGCTGTATTACTACTTTTTCCAGAAACAAAATAAAAGAAAAAGCCCACCTTATTTTAATTTTTTAATGTGTATATATATATATATATATATATATGCCTGTATATGCATATTTAAATAAAAAGTGACTTTAGAACAGTTAGGCCACCAATTGCACTGGGAGGGACCTCAAAGACAATGCAATTCAGAGCTTTCCAAAATGTATGTACAGGCAAGTCACCTGGGGCTCTTTCTACAATGCAGATTCTGACTCAGTAGACCCAGGCGGGGCCTGAGATTCTGCATTTCAGACAAGCTCCCAGGAGAAGCCACACTTTGGGGTAGCAAGGAAAGCCATCTTAACTTCACTATTCCTCTTGGCCTTGACACTTAACCGCAAATTGCCTTTGATTACCATTCTGTGACAGCTTTCTCGTTCTTGGTTTGGCAAATAACCTGGGGGCTGGAAGCTCCTTGACAATTCTAGGAAGAAAGCTCTGCGGGTTGGAAAGGAAGGTTTCCTTATGGTAAGTGGAGGCCCCTCTGCTGACACTTGCCGACTTGCTTCTCCATTTGTAGGACAGCATCCTTCCCAAAACAGTCTTCATTTTCTTCATCACAGTTTTTTTTTGGTTTTGCTGGCTTTCATGAAATTCCTTGTCACTGTCAGCAGACGATTCATCTTTGGGGACCAATACGTTTTGTTTTACCAAGTTGGTGGACACAGCTCTATGCCACCTAAACAATATAAAAAAGAATTTGTGTTTAAGGAAATTGAAAAGTCAAAAACAAGAAATTTAAATCATCAAAATCCAAACTTGAATTGCGAACACATGATCCAATTCCAAAAAAATAAAAATGAACACCAAGAACCAAATCAGTAGTTATGCGTGTTCTGACCACTACTTCATTTTATCCTCATAGCTCCATAAGAGGTAGGTTACGCTATCATCTTCACTTCACTAATGACTAAACTGAAGCACAGAGAGCATAGAATGCAGATTTTAATCCAGGTCTCTGACTGTTAGAACACATATTGACAAATTGGTAACCTCCTTTCAATGATGGTTGGATGTAGTTTTTACTGGGTTTGGTAGCTTCCGGTCTACAGTGATGAAAGATGAGCGATGGCTAGGGTAGTTAATAAGGTCTGTAGTCTCCAAGGCCCCATAAATGATGCATGTACATAAAACACTCATTTAGAGAGAATAACTCTAAACTCTTATTTCTAAGATTCCAAATAGTCATACACTATCTTCATCATTTGGGCCTATTTTAGTAATACAAACAGATAACGAGGGCGTCTGGGTGGCTCAGTTGGTTGAGCATCTGACTCTTGATTTCGGCTCAGGTCATGATCTCAGGGTCATGGGATGGAGCCCCGTGTCAGGCTCCACACTCAGCAGGGAGTCTGCTTGAGATTCTCTCTCTCCCTCTCCCTCTGCCCCTCCCCCCACTCACACTCTCTAAACAAACATCTAAAAAAAAAATACAGATAATATTTCTTAATAGCGTTCTATGCACTAAGCACTCTTCTAAGTTCTTCCTTGTGTTTTATGTAATTTACCCCTCGTCCTGTCATCTCTGTTTTACAAATGAAGAGATTAAATCCTTGAAAGATTAAATAACTTGGTACAGGTGATCTGATCCCAGTGTCTGTGTTACTCACCATTCTAGAAGAAACATCATCTATACCATGATACCATTATTTAGCTAATATTCTTCCTCAATTAGCTATTGTTTTTAGTGTCATCCAGAGCAATAATATCCAAAAAAATCCCAGGGGTTTAAAAAATTAAACCTTTTATTTTGAGGTAATTGTAGTTTCACAGGCAGCTGTAAGAAATAATACAGGGAGATTTGCCCAGTTTCCTCCAATGGTAACCTTGTGCAAAAGTGTAATTTATCACAATATTGATACTTTCAAGATACAGAACATTTCCATCACCACCAGGATCCTTCATGGGTTATGGCTGCACCCACTCACCCCATCACCTCCTTAAGCTGTCCTTCATTTGTATAATTTTGTCCTTTCAAAAATGTTATCTAAATGGAATCATATAGTATATAACTTTCTGGGATTTACTTTTTTTTTTCACGCAGCATGACTCTCTGGAAATTAATCCAGATTATCGTATGTATCAATTTTTCTTTTTTGTTGCAGAGTAATATTCCATGATACTGATTACCACACTGTCTAATCATTTACTCACTGAAAGACATTTGGATTGTTTCCAGTTTGGGGCTAATATGAACACACACATAAACATTTGTGTACAGGTATTTGTAGGAACATAGATCTTCATTTCTCTGGATGAAATCCCAGGTTTTCTATTATGTTATGTTATATTATGTTTGCAGTAAATGTAACATGTATTTCTAAGACAGATTAAAATAAACTCATAACTATTAAAAAATATTCTTCATATACTACCTAAAATATCTCAAGTAATACCAGCAGCACATAGACCATCCTCCAAGAAAATACTGTTCTAAACTGGAGCTAAATCATTCAACTTTTCTGTAATTATACATGGGAAGTAGTTCAGAAGAGCCCAGGCACTGGAGTTCAATGGTCTTGTTCAACCCAGCACCACACTTCCTAGCTGTGTGATCTTGGGCATGTTATTTAACCTCTTTAAGCTTAGGTTTTCTCATTTGAAAATGGGTATACTGTTTTCAGAAATGTGGGCATAAAAAAGAAATAATTCATGGGCTTAGAACCTAATAAATAATAGCTTTAATTAATATGTGGATCAGATGAGTGAAGGAAAAAAGTAAAAGGCAAGGAGGGAACTCAAGCAGGAGGTCAAAAGAAGGGCGGGGGGAGCCTGTAGGCTAGCCAGCTATCCCTTTCGGGACTGAACATAGGCTGTCCACCAGTTACACACACACAGAAACACTAGGGGTGCTATTCCATTTAGTCATCATAGGCTCCAAGTTAACTATAACTTTCTGGCAGATGGCAGTAAAGTGTCTTGAGGATGGAGTGCCATTTTCTTTTTCTTTTTTTAATTTTTTTTTAAAGATTTTATTTATTTGACAGAGAGAGAGACCGCAAGAGAGGGAACACAAGCAGGGGGAGGGGGAGAGGGAGAAGCTGGCTTCCTGCTGAGCAGGGAGCCCGATGCGGGGCTCAATCCCAGGACCCTGGGATCATGACCTGAGCCGAAGGCAGACGCTTAACGACTGAGCCACCCAAGCGCCCCAGGAGTGCCATTTTATAATTTGCCCAAAGACCATTTATGGGCTAGGATTAATCTTCACTAGAGCCCTGTGAGAATCATTTAATAAAGCCATCAATTTCTACTACCATAAATACACATACACACACACACACACACCCCCCCCCCAAAACAATGAAAATACAACTTCAGGAGGCTCAAGAACCCCAAAGGCCATCCACGTAATCCCTCAGGTTAAAAGCCCAGCTCTAAGTATTCTGAATCTCTAGAATGTATCTCCCACTGCATCCCCTCCACCCTCATTCCCAATCTATTAAAACATAACTAAGGTGATTTTGCTCCAGGGCCTTGGAATAGAACTGTTGCAATTTCTGTTTTGAAAAGAACCCTTCCCTTCTTAAGTTTTCAAATATCTTGATTGGTAATGGATGTACTTTGTAGAATTGCTTCCCCCTTTAAACTCTTTTTATTATTGAAAGTGGAAATCTCTGCAATATTTCATTTTGTCCGTGGAAGTTCAGAAGTTTGGTGTTGGAGGATTCAGGCCTCATCAAAATACCTCATTTCTACGTGTCTGAGCTATTGCTCATGAACCTGGTAAGAAAGAAGCCAAAAGAAATTGGAAAATAAATCATCTTGTTGATTTTCCAAATTAAAATGTATTATGTTTGGAGTATTTTTTTTTTTAAAGATTTTATTTATTCATTTGAGACAGAGAGATACAGAGAGAGAGAGCATGAGCAGGGGGAGACAGAGGGAGAGGGAGAAGCAGGTTCCCCACCGAGCCAGGAGCCAGACATGGGGCTCAATCCCAGGACCCTGGGATCATGACCTGAGCCGAAGGCAGACGCTTAACCCTCTGAGCCACCCAGGCGCCCCATGTTTAGAGTATTTCATTGCCTGTCTTTATGGTTTTTCCTTTGACAGGAAATACCAGGTATAAGACAGTTTTAACATTACATTAAAGAGGGGCACCTGGGTGGCTCAGTTGGTTAAGCGACTGTCTTCAGCTCAGGTCATGATCCCACGGTCCTGGGATCAAGTCCCGCATCGGGCTCCCTGCTCTGCAGGGAGCCTGCTTCTCCCTCTCCCACTCCCCCTGCTTGTGTTTCCTCTCTCGCTGTGTCTCTCTCTGTCACATAAATAAATAAAATCTTTAAAAAAAAAATTACATTAAAGAGCATGCACAGCGTGAAATAACAATTAGTACATATTTCAGTGCATATTGCTGGGCAAGAGAACAGAAAGCATTGATAATGGACTCATCTCAAAGAATATACTATTGAATTTTCAAAATCATAGTACTTGCACGGGACACGTGATATCTAAAATTCTGAGACTGTGCTTATTTTTGCCTCACATGCCACATTAAAACTCAAATTCAGGTGGAAAGGAAAGGCTTTCCCCATTACGATTACACTCATAAAATCAGGCGTCCATTGTGGCATTAGGCTTCCTGACCTATGTAGAAATGCGGTGCCTCCCCCGCCCCCCAATCCATTCAGAGTGTTCATTTCTAAAGGCAATGCTGAAAAAGAGATGCTCCCTTTTCTAATCATCACAATGAATATTGTTTAATGCAAAATCCAAAGAATCTCACTCAACAGAAAAGAAAACAAATCCCATCGGCCTACCTTTCAATCCCCTTCCTTTTGAAAGGGCCATTTTTCTTTCTGTGTTGCTGGAGTCTTCGGTACTGACCAACTCTTCCACAGGCACCCTTAGAAGACTCTGGAAGATACAGCTGAGGCTGGTCCATCGCTGTCAAGTCCACCTGTAGCAGCTGCTTTGGATTTCTTCAGCTCTTGAGCTCCCAAACTACAAAAACAAATCATTGAGGGCCAGAGGCACTTTTAACTTCTGGGCTGTTTTGGGGAAAGTACGTAGGAAATTTTTGGAATCGCTTTCTTATTCCCTTGAAGGTGTGAGAGACATCATTTGTGGGACTGGCCCTGTTTACCAACTTCACAGAGGTTGGGAATGATGCATTTGACAGAATGGTGGGAAATTCCAGTTCAATTCGTGGAACACGTGTTCTAGATTCCTGGGCAAGGCCAGTGCAGAAAAGGTAACCTGATTTTCTAATCACTACCTTTTGGGTTGGTAATAAAATAATCACACACCAATTGATTATCACATTCAGATGTGCATGTTTGAATACCAAAGAGGAAAGACCCGGAAGAATACCAATGATCCCAGCTTTTTTTTACATCTCTCAGCTAGAGCTGATAAATACTCTCTCGGCCCCAGGGGACACATATTAAAAAGCCCAGTTGTTATTTGGCCATCTTATAGTACATCCCAAGGCTATTTTATTATATCACAGAATTTTATAGCGGTCTCTCATGGCTGAAAAAGTTGAGTGCCTGGTCCGTGCTTCCCTTCGAACATTTCCCCATTTCCCGAAGAGCAAATTCTGCCTGCAAATACTTCTCACCACAAGGTGGCAGCAGACACTAGGATTTATTCCCATCACGCTCAAGGGCGTTTTGAGGTTTTCAGACAGAAGTAACTGCATACTAAGAAAGAAAATTCTAGAAAATTGTGGGAGAGATACTAGGATTACCCTGCTTTTTGTGTTTGTACTCATCAGTGATGTGAAGCATACTTCTCAAACTTTCATGTGCACATGACTACCTGAGGATTCTATTAAAATGCTGATTTTGACATAGGAGGTCTGGCGTGGGATCCAAGAATTTGCATTTCTAATAAACTCCCAGGTGATGCTGATGATGCTGGTCCACAGACCACACCTGGAGTAGTGAGGGTCTTGTATGTTCCAGCACCGTGACAAAGAGCTTAAAAGTGGTCAAGAATTAAGTTTATTACATTGAGGGATTAAGAGGGTTCTTGTTCTAGCCCCCCTGACAATTTGTTTACCCTATCTGTGCTTGTTTTCTCATCTGTAAACTAGGGTTACTAATACCCAAACCATTGGAGACTGGGTGCAGGTGGTCCTTTGAGAAACAATGAAATGCAGCATACGCGATGTGCTTTAGCCAAAAGGGCTTGTGGTTCTACACGGTCTGTTTTTCCTCAGCTGTTGGCATTCCCAGAGCACAATAAATAACAGGGGCTTGAATGAACAAATAAATGAATGAGCATTTTCTTTAACCATGAGCCTTTTTGTTTCAATTGATCGCTGGAATAGTTGTCTTAATTCGGTTGTATTTTGTTAAATATCTGGATGAATGAGATTATTCTACATTAGGAAAAGAGAGCTGATTTTTATCTGTGTAAGTATGTGTCTGGTGTTTGTACATGTCCATGAGCGTCCATGTGTGTGCGTGTGTGCGCGCACGCATAACAGGCAGAACCATTTGCTGCTTTGGCTTCTGTGACAAATGGCACAGTTTCTCCAAGGCGTCCTGGAGCAGATGACGGAGCTAGCAAGTGGAATAGAGAAGAAGAGCTAGGGCACAGACAACCAATTTGAGCCAAATCTGTTTTTTTTAAAATTTATTTTATTATTATTTTTTTATTCTAGCTCTGTCCCTTACAGGATGTGGGTCCTTGAGCAGGTGACAAAACCTCCCTGGACCTCCATTTTCTCATCTGTAAAATAGAATAGTAACCACTGCCTCCCAAGAACGCTTTATTCATTCAGCTATCTGACAATTACTTGAATGCCGACGGGTGCTGGTGCTATTCTAGATGCCTGGGATACTGGGAAACAACACACCCAGAATCTCTGAACTAATATAACGGACAGTGCCGCGGGTGAGGCCAGCAACAGATAAGAAACCAAATCAACTAACTTCAGCTGGTGGTAAGTGCTATGAGGACGATAGAAAAGGGGGGGTAGGGGTGTGAGCCTCCACATGAGATGAGGAGTCGGGGACGGCAGGCAGCTAATGAGTCACTGAGCCTTAGAACTGAACAAGGAAACAGAGTCGTGTGAAGATCTGACCGTCCCAGGTAGATGAATCAGCAGGCACCTGAGGAGGAAGAAGCCTGATGTCTTTTTTTTTTTTTTAAGATTTTATTTATTCATTTGAGACACAGAGATACAGAGAGAGAGAGAGAGAAAGCATGAGCAGGGAGAGAGGCAGAGGCAGAAGGAGAAGCAGGCTCCCTGCTGAGCCAAGAGCCCGATGCGGGGCTCGATCCCAACACCCTGGGATCAGGACCTGAGCCGAAGGCAGACGCTTAACCATCTGAGCCACCCAGGCGCCCAAGCCTGATGTCTTTGAAAATATATGAGGTAGAGCGGCTGCAGCAAACATAGGGCCAAACCTGCCGATCCCACAGAACAAAGTGAGAATTTTGGTCTTGATCCTCAGAGCAATGGAGAGGTGTTAAGCGTTTTTTAAAAAGCATTTGGACAAAAATTTAATTGTGGGAAAATATACATAATATAAAATTCACCATCTTAACTGGTTTTAAGGGTACAGCTCAGGGGCGTTACGCATATTCACATTGCTGTGCAAAATCGCCACCGTCTCCAGAAACTTTTCATCTTGCAACACAGAAACTCCGAACCCATGGAACAATAACTCCCCGTTCCTGCCTCCCCGCCTTCCCCCACCCTGCCCCCAGCCTCTGGATATCACCATTCTGCCTTTATGTCTCTGACTTATATAAGGGCTTTTAAGGAGCTAGGCGATACGTATGTGTTCTGTGCAATGGGGAGTCAGCCTTGAACAAAACAACTAGAGTCTCTGCCCAGGAATTACATCCCAGTGGAGGAGCTAGACACCAAACATGTTACCAAATAGATGAAGCATTGCCAGCACTGAAAAAGAAGGCTGTGAAAATCTAGGAAAAGCCCATAGAAAGCAAGGGGAAGTGTGAGTTTCTGCCACGGCGATCAAGACGTCTCAAAGAGGTGACATTGAGGTGAGACATTTCACATTGAGAAGGAGGCAAACTAGGGTGAATCCTGGGAGGAAAAGTATGCCAAAGGTGGAAAACTCCCAGAGCAAAGGTTCTCAGATGGGCGAGGACCGGGCGGTGTTTGAGGGCAGAGAGGAGACCAGTGTGGTGGGGGCATCAGTGACAAGGGAAGGCAACATTATGCTTGTGTTTTATTTATTTATTTTTTAAGGATTTTATTTATTCATTTGAGAGAGAGAGAGAGAGAGTACAAGTGGGGGGAAGGGGCAGAGGGAGAGGGAGAAGCAGACTCCCCGCTGAGCTGGGAGCCCAACATTGGGCTCCATCCCAAGACCTGGAGATCACGACCTGAGCAAAAGGCAGACGCTTAACCATCTGAGCCACCCAGGCGCCCCTATGCTTATGTTTGAAGAGATTGCTGTGTGCAGGTTGGGAAATGCATTGGAGAGGATGGAGTATGGTTGTCAAGAAGCCACTGGGTAGGCAATTGGTCCAGGCTGGAAATGATGGCGCATTGGAGCAGACTGAGATAAGAGGGTGTAGATTCAGGAAAGAGCTGGGAGGTACAATGCTGACATGAGCAGAGTCTGGGGCTGGGTGAGGAGAGAGCAGGACACACGAGCCTAGGCAGTCAGGCTGTGGCAATGGTTCAGGCGTGAGACTGCGGTGGTTTAATGGAGTAGGGGTTGCTGGAAGCTAGAGAGACAGGAACCAATGTAAGAGTCCCTGATAACATCTTCTTTTCAACCGTCCTGCCCCAGGTATGGCTTGGAGTCACATCCATACGGTCACTCCCTGGACATTTGTAAATGATCCTCTGAAAAGCCCAAAAGACCGGAGCAGGGCAAAATCTGGTCAGAAACACCATCTTTATTGTTCCCAACATTCTCCTTTTATTGAACATGCCTGAGATTGCATAATCCTATTTAGGGAATCATAACAACAGTCGAATCCTCTTGAGGTAGCAATGGACTGAAAGCACTAAGTTGGACATAGCCAACCTGAATGCCCGTAGGCACCAGGCAGGCGACTGTGAGAAGCTGTGGGATGCAGCAGGAAGGGGTGGGAACTGTGGCAAATTGTAGGGGGCTGGGCCGATCAAACGATCCTGAACTTCAAATTTCTAAGAATCCTCGTGCATTTAACCATGTGATCTGCAGGTTGTATTCAGCCTGTGGGTCACCTGTTTGCTGCCCCCAGAGATTTTTTTTAGGTCAACCCTCCGTTCAGTCAGCCAGGTCCTTTCCATCAGTGGCCCTAAAGCTGATTTCCACCCCAAATTGTAACTTAAATGTATTGACTTGCATTCTATTGGCTTTTGGCCAATTTTTAAACTGTTTTTGCATCTTATCTCTATCTGGCTGCATGCTTACTTCACCTAGCAACTTGTAAGCCCTCTGAAAACTTGGTAAGTGGGGATTCTGGGTCTTATTCCAAGTTTGGGAGGGATAAACACATAGAACAGGGCAAGACAATATACCTTGGTGACCTGAAGTCATTTTTAAACTGAATCCTTTTGAAAATGAATGAGTGTAGCAAGCTGACCATTTTTTGAAGAGTTTTCACGAATTCTGGCCACCCCAGATTTACTAGGGTTTGGGAAGCCTTTGCACGTAGGGGAAGATGAAGTGGAGACTTTTCCTCCTTGCTCAAGCAAATCTCCTTATTGGACCTTCTGTCTTTTTGAAAGAAGGTGTCACTTTACTGAAGGGTTAGCAAGAATTATGTCATGAGGAAGTGTACACAGGGTGCCTAGAGACAGAGTGTTTCCACAGAGAAGTCTGCTTATCCAGAAGTCAGGCTGGAACAAAGTGTCTCTAAAGAGGCGACAGACTCAAGTACATGATCCCCTTTTTTCATTTGCTTTTCATATAGGCTGCTGCCCCAGGCTGGTATCTCCTATCACATAGCTTTGAAATAATCATTTGGTTTGCTTTTACTCTCCTTTGTAACTTCTCAGGATTGGTCTTAGAAGTTGTCTAGTGCTCTGGGCCCTGCCACGTTGGAAAGACTACATTTTAATCAAAATGCCCTCTCAGTTAATATGAGTATAAATCAGTGTAAGGTCTCTGGAGGGCTATTTGGCAATATTCACCAGCGTTTGAAATTGTGATGTCAGAACCAGCAGTCCACCTCTGAGAACCTACTTTATTGAAATACCCACATAGTAATGTAGGTTTATTTGTAGTAGCAAAAACTAGTGGCAACCTACATGTTCATCAATAGAAGATTGAATAAATGGCCCTATGGACCTACTACAGACATTGGAGCCATTAAAGAAAAAAGGCAAATCTATGTGTTCTGATGTGTA